AGGCCTGCGGGGAGCATCATGCTTCGCTCTAGCATCACAACCACAGGTTTTCCTTTTGCATTGTGCTATTCCTTTTTTCTTTGTTGGATTATAGACATAAATGTGCAAGACAATGGGCAAAGTGTCTAAGCATCACAAGGCCCAAAGGGAACACCCATGAAAAAGTAGAGAGAACTTGAAGCGTGTGGTACCAATCCCCACATCAGCTGACACGCCATCCCTCAGCCAGTCTACACCAGCCTACCTCCACTAGTCTCTACAAGCTTTTACTAGACCTCCATCTCCTCTTCCCAGGACCTCTCAGGCTACTCCACCACCTCTCCCCTCCAAATCCCAACCTCTGCTCACAGGTGCTACTAAAAGAAAGCGCATGATTTCAGCGAGTTTTCCTGTTAATGTTCCTACAGTACAGAAAAATTATGTATTATTTGACATAAGTGCAATTTAAAATTTTATTAGTCAGTTAGTGTGCAACAGTTGTTACAGCCAGAAATTAGCTATTACTTTAATAACCAAGTACATCAATGTGTTTGTTTATAGTTCTATGCTTCTAGGTGAGGAGTATACTGGATTACAGAGACTATTTGGGACTCTTAGTATGAAACATTTGTACAAATAGCAAGTGAATATTGCTAGGAACGTTACTGCCAAGGCATTAGAAACAGTATACAGGATATATTAGATAAAAGTGTTGTTGCTGTGTTTGACCATGAAATACAATTGGGGAGAGCACTTAATGAGGATGGCACATTGAATATTATTTAGGGGCGCCGGTGGTAGAGCGGTACCGCTCTTACCTCGCAAGCGAGATGTCACGGGTTCAATTCCCGGGCCGGTGGAAAGTTGTTTGGACACGCATCCTAGCCCCCCTTGGTCCCTGTTCACCTAGCATTAAAGTAGGTACCTGTTGTAAATCGAAAAGTTGCGAATTCGTATTCAGGGAAAGTTGTTGGAGCTTCCAATAACTTGCTGACAAAAAAACCTATGACTCTTCAGGTTTCTACGCCCTTGACTCATGAGACATAAAGGCAAGCATGAACTTAGCATGCTTCCCAGATGGGCGCTGCAAGCGCTTCACCTTACACAGGATGTAGCCCCCACCAAAAATAAATAAAAATAAATAAATAAATAAAAAAATAAATAAAAAAATAAAAAAAATATTTTAGTATTTTTTGATGGGACCTGTTTGCGGGTGGTGCAGTAATAGACACCCAAACAGGCCTTATGACTGATTATGAAAGTGTTAGTAAATTTTTTGAAGTGTGCACCAAGAAAGAAAACCCATTGAAGGGCAAGAACATAAGTGAAGATGAATACAGTGAGTGATATAAAAAGCATACAGAAACAGACATGTAGGAAAAATTACCAAGGCAGTTCGGGTGGGATGGAAGCAGCAACTGTAATGATGTTCAGTTGAAGCCTGCAGAAAAAACTTCAGTATACTGTATTCATATCTGATGGTGATAGTTCTACATACGATGCAGTATGTAATGTGAATAATAAGGAGAGGCTATATAGAGACGTGAAGGAAGAGTGCAGCAATCATGTATCAAAAAGAATTGGTGCACCTCTAAGAAATCTGCAAAAGCAGGAAGTGACTGAACTGACTACTAAAACTGTTAAAGTGAAGAGGTTTACAAACACTGGGGGGAAGGGAAGCTTACTGACAATGTGACAACAATGCTGGCCCGATATTTTGGGTTGGCAGTAAGACGATGGTGAAAATGAGGGTGGACATACTGTCCACCTTCTTTCATTGTTCCTCAACAGACAAAGCCCCACAGCATCATTCATGTCTGAAAGGAGTACACAGTTGGTGTTTCTACCAGAAAGCATTGGCCCTGAAAAACATTCCTCCAAACCATAAGACAATGAAGGCCAGCTTTATGTTGCCTGATGACATGAGGCATAAAGTATATGAAGTGTACGAGCAACTGACGTCAGACAAATTCATGCTGGGGCATTTGAGGGGTAAAACTCAAAACCCAAAAGAGGCATTGCAAAGCAGAATCTGGCATTATTGTCCCAAGGCAAAAAATTATAACAAAAGGAATAAAGGATTATAGATTGGCAATTGCAACTGCTGTCACCAACTATAATGCTGGGTATCCCCTGACAAAACAAATAAATAAGCCAAAGACAGCAAAGAGTACAGTACTATGCTCCGGACACCATTTTTAAGAGGTTTTTAAAGTGTCTTACTTCAAAAACTCAGCACTCCTGTTAAATAAATGAAACGCAGAAATGGCTTGGTACAAATACTGTGTGTGAGTTATAATTTATCAGAAAAAAGTCACCGCTGTCGTTTATTTGAAGAAGGGAAATTAGTAGTAAGATTTCACTTAAAATTAGACGCATAAATATTTTTCTTTCTCTTACTATTGTTATAGATCCGGCTCGGGACTTTAGGGAGGCATCGTCAGAGTGATAGGTTGATTTTCAATGTACACTAAGTCCTCATTTAACGTTGCCCCCGATAACGTTGTTTCGTTATACAGTAACGTAGCTATCTATTCTTTAGATACCCATGAATCGGATAACGTCCCGCTAATTCAGTATAACGTCGTCAAGAACTTCTTTGTACGGCGCATTTTTTGGCGTACTATGACGCTCTCACCCGTAGAGCGTCACACAGCGTCCCCAAGCGTCGGCAGTCTTTGTTTGGCTTCCACAGAGTTTGTGCGTGTTTAAGTGTTTTTGCTCTTAATACTGTACTGTAACCATTCAAAATGGCTTCCAAGCGCCCATAAAGTGCTGCTGATGCTAGTGTTGTGAAGAAGCAATGTAAGACCATTACCCTTGCTACGAAAATGGAGGTTTTTAAACCGTCTTGAGAAAGATGAGGAGGAGCCACCCGCCAGGTCTCTGTGACTCGCCTACCTCCTCCTCCTCTCCACCACACACTTGCTCCATCAGTGAGTACAATACAAAATGATTTAGTTTATTTATATACAATATACTGTATACTAGTTTCTATAAGGATGCCATTGAATGTCTGTATACGTAATGTATTTCATGGGGTAAAGTGGGACTGGGGAACATAACTCCCATATTTTATCTATTTCTTATGGGGAAAATTGATTCTGTTAACGTTGTATCCGTTGACGTCGCGGTTTTCAGGAACGGAACCACAACGTTAAGCAAAGATTTACTGGACCTTCTAGAACAAGAGCTGCTGACACTCTGAAAATCATCTCAAATTGTAAATATTTAATGCTATTAATATATAAATATAGGATTTTTGTATCAATTTAAAATTATAATACTAAGTCATGGTGGTGGAGAGGAACAGCTGAGTCATGGTGGTGGAGAGGAACAGCTGAGTCATGGTGGTGGAGAGGAACAGCTGAGTCATGGTGGTGAAGAGGAACAGGAAGAAGAGAAAAGTGGCCGTGATAAGAACAGGATAACACTGGTAGTACGAATGGTAGTACCCAAAAATATTACATAACCCTTCTGGCTAAAAAGAAATAAAATCTAATGAATGTAATTAAAGTATAAAATTAATTTTGAGAATTAAACTTGCTTCAAGTTGTTCTCTTTATGACATCAAAGTTACCAGTATGTTTCACTTGCTAATTTTTAGTTCCTAACATGTGGAAATAATCAGAGATCAGCACTGAACAGTTTTATTTCTTGAAGTTCCAGAATAGGTAAGATAAATGAAATATTAAAGCTCAGTTGAATGACCCTTTGCATGTCTTCCTGTCAGCCAATCAATTGTCTTGTTTTATGTGTTTGCCCCTAGGACAATTATTTATTTTACTTGTATTGTATATATGTGTGTAGAAACACACACACACACACACACACAAAACACATACGATTAAATAATAATTGGAAAATCCTCTCACAAATAATCAGAAAAAATTATTAAAAATACTGAGTTTACCCCCAAGTCCGTGCCTTTTTAATAACAAAGCACGGAGTGGACTTGAGGGTAGACTCAATGTTTTTAATAAATTTTTTCTGATTATTTGTGAGAGTATTTTCCAATTATTATTTATTTTTATGTGTATTGTGTGTGTGTGTGTGTGTGTGTGTGTGTGTATGTCTACACACACACACACATATATACAATACAGGTAAAGAAAATTACTGTCTCTAGAATGAATGGCTCCCTGTTCCAGCTGCGAAAATGCCAGCAACTTTAAATCTACCCTTAGACATGCTTGGGTACATCAGGATGTCATCCGTGAATAATAGAGGACCGTGAAATAAAAATCCGTGAATTATCCGGGGGCACAGTACATTAGTCGTTTATAAATCATTTGATAACTGCAGACAAATATTGACGTGACTTTAGTAAATGTTTAGTTAAATATGAATTTCATGAGAGTTTCACTGAATCTTTTATAGTTGTAAAAAAATATATTGTATAGTTTTATAGACTTCTTAATATGATATGGAGTCAAAACTCATTTAAAAATGGATTGACATATGCCAAAATGTAACTTGAATATCAAGTTCCAAGTAAAATTTAATAAAAATTTACCCAACCTTTCTTCAGTGATTAAAGGTAAACTAAAGCAGGGAGGGACACACATACTGTACACTGGTCGCACATTATGACACCCACTGTGAATGGTGGGGACAGCTGCAGGCTGTGTGGTGCACTAGGACAGAGGACTACAGTGTAAGATTGTAAAAAGACAGAATCTTCAGTTTAAGTGTAATCAATAAGTGAAATACAATCATAACAAAAATGTAGGACTGGTACAAAGTCACAAACAAGACAGCCTCATCATTACACACAATAAAATACTGTACAGGTGTACGTCCTAATTCAATTATAAATATCACTTGAAGTTTAAAAACAGGATTTTAGGACCACAGCCAAGAAAATTATCCTGAGCATATTTACTCACTTCAGTAATTCCTTAATTTGATTATGCATTATTAATAACTAAAGAGCGACTCACTCCCCTCACCTTTTAACACTAATCTATTAAAGCCAGGCCTAATATAAAATTTATTATCAGGTTAAGGCAGTCAATTACCTCAGTTATGATGAATTAGATGCTCCGCCAGGTTTAGGCATGTCGTACTGAGCGTAGCTGAGACGGGTGCCTGCTAGTTCAATGAGATAACGGTCAGGATTATCTAACCAATCCGAACTGTTTAGTTTAACTTTCCTCCGGTTCTCTACATCTCTCACCTCTCGCTTCTTCAGCTCTGTTTGGGCTTCTCTGTAAATGATAAGAGATTTAGTAATACTGAAGGAAGGGTTGGTAGTACTGAGGGAAGGGTTGGTAGTACTGAGGGAAGGGTTGGTAGTACTGAGGGAAGGGTTGGTAATACTGGTTTGAATGCTCTAATACAAATAATAATAACAATATTTATTCAGTGAAATTATCATACAGGTTTACAATTGGATAGTTATGTATGTAAATGATGCTTCTGTATGCCACTAGCAACATGCGATTTTTCTTCAATCTTCTTCAGTGATTTAAGGTTAGAAAAATTGAGTGAAATTGGTTTCCTAGGTCATGTGAGGTTGGGTTGATGAGGTTTTTATGAATAACACATACTCATTTCTTGGGTTCAAGTTGACTCATAAAGGATGTGTTGTATTTCCCTTATAGTGAAACTGCCCAAGAAAAGAATGTGAAGCACATTGAAATATAAAGGAAAAAAATAACTCAGTCCAAAAAGTCATTGATGGTCCTTAAATAAATATTTACCCAAGAATAAAACAGCATCCTGCTCATTTCATATATCCTATTGATACTCTGATGTTCACTAGCAATTCTGAACAGTAGATCATTATCAATATTAAATGCATTGAGCTCATAAAAACTAATGAACAGTCAACAGTGAGAGAAGTAGGGTTATGAGTCACCTCTGTGGATCCTTTGGAAATCTGAAGAAAGACAGGTTTCTGTTCCTTTGGGTGTTGTTGGAACAATTCATAGCCGCACAGCTATTGTATTCAATTGTAGATGGTAAAATAATGTGCACAAGACAATAGAAAACAATGCATTCAACAAAATGTGTCTCTCCATCCCTGTAAGCTCTGCCTGCCAACTACTGTTTATATTTAGCAGCCAAGAACAGTCGGGGATGAACAGGGTCGCCCAATGAAGTGAGCCATCCCCCGACAGTATAGAATCCTTGGTGTGATCAACTCTAAACATATCACAACAGTAACAACAATATACTGGTAAACGAACCAGCACTATGGACTTACTTTGGGGATCTTTATGGCAAACCATTACAAGTCTTACCCTTAATAGTTTTACACAGTATTTAAAAATTATAATCCTTTACAAACACAACATAAAAATCAATACAATGCTGCTAAAACTCATGAATGGTTTAAAAGGATCCAGATTCACCTCTACTGAAAATATTTTAAGTTCACTGATGCTGATGTTGTATAAACCTCCAACTTGTTCTTCATGTTCACTCAATTATCCCCCATACAATACTGTACAACAAAGTCAACCAACAATACACAGGAAGGTAAACTGACTTACTTGGCTTCACAGGCGCCACATCCCCAAACTTCAATTGAATGTAGTTTAAAGGGAATCATGCGGTAGGTGACTAAGCTGAGGTTCAGATCAATTGTGAGGGCTCGGTTGGTACAGTCTCTACCCACCTGAATCCCAGTGGGGAACCCTCTGGATGTCACATTAAAGTACATCATCTTTGCACCACCTGGTAAAGTAGAGAGACTATCACCAATTATTGTGCTCACTTTATGGCAATATTTCACCCCTCCTCCACTGACAGTCTTGATTCAGTATTTAACATTAGTTACAAATAAATAGTACAGTATTTAACAGCATATAACACGCACTTTTCTTCAAGAAAAACAAATCACCCGGCTTCCAATATCTGAAGTTTTGGGTCTCATACAGGCTATTGAATCCCCAGATGCTGTCTCCAGTAGGCTAAATTACTTTTAATTAATCAAAAAAGGATTTATTGTAAATATTAAAGCTGGATAACCTGAGATGATTATCATCTGTACGATACCCAACTCATCAGAGCTAATCATTAACTGTTTCTGAATTCATACAAGTGTTACTATCTATTAATGTCATATCTGCCACATTTATCTGCCACATTTGGTTTTTTAAACAAACCTGAAATTATGTTGATAACGGTGATAATGCCAACAGCCATCACCATTCGTCCTTGTTCTCACTAGCTAACACCATCTATCGGTGTGCAACAAAGACTAGTATTCAGTTATGTTTGCAGTGATTACCATAGCGTGGACATCTTAGTACGAGTAATGATCATAACAACAACAAATTGGTATTTTTGCCTCATAAGAACACTATACTATTAGGTAAATTTATTTCATTTACACAGACTTACTGTATCATGTTCCATATTAGTCGGAGTAAACATTAAATGCTTAAATATAATAAGAGTTTTTCCTACATATTCCCTACTGAATAAGGGGGGGAGGGGTCTGTCTTATATGCTGTAAAATACAGTAAGCCAAAAAAAATTCCTCTTACATGATTTACATATCTCCTTACATAACTAAATAGTTAATATGCTCTATCTCCTTGTGACAATATCTCTTAAGATGATCTTCAACAATTGATCTGCCAACTCATGGAGATTTGCACTGTGTATGGTCAATTATCAGGGGCAGATCCAGGAATATCAAAGAGGGAGAGGTTCCAAGAAGTTCTGGGTGGGGAAACATGGCAAATAAAGCGAGCCCACGCAGCTGGGGGGTGCTGTAAGGGGATTTTTTTTTAAACCTGACCAATATCGTGGGCATTTTGAAGCCACTTCGAAAACATGTGCACTTGATATTAGGAGATATTCTGAGGTCAATAGTAATTAATTTTTACTATACAAAAATGCCTGAGTACAATACTGCATTAAAGAAAAAGTATTGGAATTTTCTGATGAAAAGAGGGGTCCAGACCCCCTGGATCCGCCCTTGAATTAAGTCAAATATTCCAGAACAAAGTAAAGAGCAACAGACAAGAGAGGATGTATGTTAACCCCTACGCCCCGGTTGACATTCCGGAACGCGTGCCTATTCCCACCATTGTTTAAATGCCCAGCACTGGTTATCAGGTTCCCGTGTGACTATATGCCTGTCACGCCACACCTCGGCCATAGGGAAGCTTCCTGAACATAATTGCCTAGTTTTGTTTGTTTAATTTTCATTGTTTGTCCATTTTATCATGTTGTATCAAAGTAATATTGCTAAAAGTAGTTTAGTTGTATTGTAGTGTAGTATTACTGGAAAACAACGCTATGATTATGTTATAAATATATTTATTTGTGGAATTATTATTGTTTTATTCATTACTTGCTCTACCAAACACACAGACAGCCTGGTGTGTGTTGCCGAGGACTTGTTATGAAAAATAATGCAAATAAAATATTCTAAATGAATTAGTTATAGCAAGTAAGTATTATGATCAGTAAATATATACATTACTGGCCACCCCGGACACAAAGGCAAGCAGAAAATGGCCACTACGTGCGTAGTGACCACCAGCTCAGCCGTCAAAACAACACTGTCCCCTTATCTCCCTCACTACTGTGGCCCCAGGGAAGTTTATAGAGGGTCAATATATAGTTTTTCTTACTTTTATTTTGGTTGTTTTATCATTTAAAAAGGTTAAAAATTATTTCTGGAAAAGTTGATTTTTCTCGATTTACCCCACGTGGGAGTAAGGTTTAATGAGCGTCACTGTTTTTTGTGTTCCCTCCTTAAAGTCATACATCTTGTCAGAAGAATTGTGACTTCTATAGTTCATGACATCACTAACCTAATTACAGAAATCACTCTTAATCCCTTCACTTTTAATATTTTATTTGGGTAACCCCTGATGATTTTATTCAGCTCAGAGGAAACCCCTTACACTAGGGGTTAAAAACTAACACTATATTTGTTTCCAAAAAGCTCCTGATAAAATTACATAAATTCAACTTTAAATTGTCACTCCTAACTTGAATACTAAAGTAATTATTGGAGACCGAGACAACAATTGAAAAAAATTATTAAAACTTACTTTCAACAATTTTATATTCTGGAGTCAAGTGCATGCACAAACAATTCTCGCCACCCCAGAAATGTTTCGAGTCTTTCCATTCACAGTCGCATGCTAGGCAAAATATGTTATCACCTTCCGCAGTTATAAACATTATAGTTGCGCTATGGTAGCCAAACACATGGTGCTGAAACCTATGGGAGGAAGAAACATTATTAAAAGAGCGAAAGAAAACTTCTATTGTAGAAGAGTAGTTCTCCAATTGCCTTTTACAAAAACCAAAATTACTTTGTACTGTTTTTCTTCCTGTCATAGATTGGTACATTTATAACACACATTATGTGCCCACACAAGGCTGTGGATGGACAAGTTATCTTCTTAATTAAAATTAAAAGATTGATGTGGGTGTGTATCTACAAGTTCAACTCCATAGATATGCATCATGCCACCACAACCCTCTAGTAGACTTGACTCATTCCTGAAACACTGTCAACTTTTTATGCAATAAGTAAACTCTAAGCTAATGAATCCACTCAATATGAAAGGAAAAAAAATCTTTTGTTTCAAAACTTTATTTCCTCCAAACCATAAGAAAAAAAGTTCCCTCAAAGGTGGTAGGAAAATACCAAAGTGATGTGTAAAAACAATTGCCACCTAAATTCTCAAGAACACTGAAAACTTCCTAATTTTCATCCAACATGTGCTGGGATAACAAGACAAGAATACTGTCGACAATTTTTTTTTTTTTACATAAACAAGATAAAGTATATTCATTACCAGATATAATTACCTTCTTGTTACTATCTAAAGTGAACAAAGCATATTATATATCACAAAATGAAAGCCAGCAAATAATAAGGTTACATTTAGTATTCATAAGTTACAGTTAATAACGCCAAAACAAATAAGCCCTGACTTTTTACATGAAATTTTGTTGTCATCGTATCACCTCCACAGGATAACAAGATACAGGCAATGACCGTCATACGATGAGGTTAGCAATCTCAAAAAGCCACCGATCAGTGATTGATCATATATCAATATTAATAACTTAAGAGGTGAATTAGGTTCTGTTCCTGAGACCCTGAAGAAGTTTTATATCCTGCTGCTATACAGTGGAACGTTGATTTAAAGTGATTAAATTTAAGATTATTGATTTAAAGCGACACCCACAATTAAGGACAATGTTTTAACTTAAAGCAAATCTTTCCTATTTTGCATGAGTCAATCTGGTGCATCATATTTTAAAATTTGCGCCTAATGTTTCTCTGGGCACGCTACACTGTCCTAAGGGCAAAGCTGTACTGTACATGTACTCAAAATAATGTATTAAATGATTACTAAAATTTTTGTCTAGTGCAAACTATAGCATGGTTATATTCAAATTAATCACTATCTTATAAGAATTCTAGCAATGTAAATTCTATTCTCCCATATCAGTTCAGTGAATTTTTATAAGAGAAAAACTTAGTCACTCTTTAAGGACAGATAAATAAATAAGCACTAGACCTTGACATCAACTGTCAAACATATCACCTCATCCCCCATCAGCTGATAGCTAGTAAACAGACCATTTCAAGTTCCATAATTTTAGCTGTGTTGATTTATGAGTGTTTGTTTTAACATAAAACTACAAAAAACAATGTTTTGTTTATTCTAGGAGATGGGCTGAGGTGCATCTGGGTAGACTCTCAGTCTTTATAGCATTTTGTGTTGCTCTCAAGTACCAAACTAAATTATTCCATTGAAACAAAACTTCGATTTAGTGCGAATTCGGTTTAAAGCGACCTCTCTTGGAACGTATCTTGTGTTATATGGACGTTCTACTGTAATGATTAAATGATGTCTAAATAACTAAAATAATAAATAAATGGACATAAATTCAATAAATTTACAAAAATTATAGATTTATTTTCATTTACCTTACATGATATGTATAGTTAACCAAAGATGCACTGACCCCTCCCTGGGTCACGTGCTCGCAATTTTACCTGGCAATACTTGGTAGAATAAGGCTGTATGTAAAGGCGATTGTGATTGGTGGATCTATTTTTGGCTCCATTACTGTCAGGATAAATATTAAACAATCCAAAGGTAGAATTTTTATAATAATAAACTATAAATTCTTATTTAAGATGATGAGCAGTTTCTAAATGTTCTTATATTTGCTTAAATAATGAAGAAAATTTGATGTGAGAATCTTGTGGCAGCGGTGGTTGTAGTTGAGTTGCCAGTTCATTGATATAATTTTCTTCATTAATTAAGCAAATATACGAACATTTGGAAACTTCTCCCGATCTTAAATAAAACTGATGAGCGTATATAGATCCATCCTATAATAATCATTGCCTGTAACTATCATCTCAGTTCCTACCTACTGTACCTCTATTATGGTTGTTGCTAACAAGAGAAAGGAGACTGTCATCATATCATTTTCTACTAAGACTCACCTGTTGATGCTGAGGCCATGGTTTTCACTGTTATACAAAGGGACCCAGTGTGTTGGACTCACAGCGGAAATCTATAAGAAATTTGTCTTTATTCATGCACTTATGAAACACTGAGTATACTGTATAGCAAGAGAAGAACAATCAGCATGAGGACAATCAGAGTAACAAAGCAATTAGGGTGTTACTACATGAAGGCAAACACAAAGGTGAGGCAATGACTAAGACCTATGTCAGTCACATATGAACAACTATAAGCAAAATGTCAGGGGTTGGAAGTTTTTATCCTTACTGTTTCTAGATGATGGATTAAGGCTATAATTAGGAGTATAGTAATTAGTTTTTGCTTTTGGTCACATCTGCATGCCTGGAGCACAAGCCACGGTATTGTGTGTAATGGCATCCACCCTTAAAAACATTGCCATCATGTCATGCCATTATGTCATGAAGTGACCAACAACAACAGTTAAAGCAGCTTGCTGTTAACATTATTTTGAAACTGGGATTTAAAAAAAATGAAAAAACACGAGTTAATTCACCATAACAAACAAACAATTATAACCTTACCATTTTCTCAATAAAGACATGAGGATCTAGCAACACATTGTTGGGGGACGGGGCATTCTTGCTCTTCTGTTGCTTGTGGTACACTAATGGAAGTGTGCATGTGAGGAGCCAGATGAGTGCTGGGTGAAGAGTCACACATGAAGACTTGCTGGGGCAGTCTAGGATAGGTGTGTCTCGGTCATCCTATTGAGTAACAGCAAGCTTTCTATAATTCTTCTGATATTATTAAACTATACCTATCAATCTTGCTATATCTTTATCTGTATCAAATATCTACAGCACCTGTAAATCTAGGTTTCAATCTATCTATCAACCAACACTTTTGAAGTCTTAATGCCTCTGGAAATTCAACATCAAGGCAGAGACCATAGAAGTAAATCTCCCCAAAACATTTTACCCAGTGATCACAATCATCCTGCAGCAAGAATGGAATGTTTTCATAACAGTCCAGTACATCTAAATGCTACTGTGACAAAAAGATAATGGCATCAAACTGAAATAAAATATAAGACAAGAAAATGGACAGGACAGTGACGACGAAGTTTGTGATATAAATGAGATTTTTTTTGAAGAGCAGTACAGTAAAGCCTCGAATAATGACGGTAATGTGTCCTCCAATATTGCTGTGTAAGGTGAATCATCGCATCGCGAATCAATAATTATCATTAAAGTAAAGCAATAATAATGCGATGCGTTCCAAAGTCTGACTTTTTCATATCTTTTGTGTGGCTTTTTACCCTCTTTTCCCCCAAAACAAAACAATTAATAAAAAATGACAACTATATTCTTTAAATAATGTTTATGAATGCACCTTATACAATATAAATCAATAATAATATGGTCACACAAGAGGAGATGGGACGCCATTGTTGTTGTCAGTGTTTACACCCATAACGTCAGTTATCCATCTGAAACTGAAGAAAATAAAACCCTGGTTGTTGCTGTAGTAAAATTAATGTAAAAAATATGTATGTTTTAATTAATTATTTAATGTACAGTAGAAGAAACCATTGATGTTAAAGAAAAAAAAAAGAGTGATAGTGGAACGTCAATGAATACTTGTGCACTCAAGGAAACTGCTCATTTATCTTGTTAAGAATATGTACAAAAGATTCATTATTGTTTATTACTGAATATGTATTTGATTGAATTAACATTTATATATGCGAAATGAACAATGCAATTCATTAATAATAGGTAGAATATTAAAACACGCAAGAGGAGACGAGACGGCACTGTTTTCGTTCATGTTTACAACACCGTGACGAATGACGATGGTTCTACATAAGAAACCGAAGAAAATAAGACCCTGGTTGTTGCTGTGGTAAAATTAATGTAAAAAAATGAATATGTATGTATTAAGTAATGTTATTTAATGTTAATAAATGGAACAATAGAAGTAGCTAGCCATTAATGGTAAAGAAAAAACAAAATAGATCGTATGTACGTGCGTACATGTGAAAATATTGTCATTTCTCTACATAAGAATATGAATGCAACACTTATTACTGGTCATATATATTTTAAATAATACTTACTAATGTAAAACAAATTCTACTCAAATGGTGGTAAAGTCTAAAACATAAGGACAGCCAATGAATATTATGCGAGTTTTTACTCAGATGACGAAGTTAATCAGGTTCAACTCTGGCTGAAGCTGAAGCTTTCCACAAAGATATCATAGCTGTTACTGAAACTGTTACTGAACCTGAAGTTGTTGCTGAAGCTGCTTATGATGCTGAATTTGATGGTGTAGCTGAAGTTAATGGTTTAAATCTTTGAATAATAAAGCTGTCCAAAACCCCTTTCACAGCCGCTTTCTTTACTCATTATACATCTTTATTTAGAGGCCATAAGTGTTTTTCATGTCCCTGTTAATTTTAATCTTTTGTTCTGTTAATGGATCCACTTCAGAAAATATGTTCATTACTTGCTCCATATAATATCCACAGACCTCTCACCTTTTTTCATATTGTTTTAACACATCTAGTTTCTCGGCTAAGCTTATACACTTTCTTTTAGCTTTTGAACCAGCACTACCATCACCTGCTTTCTTGCTCATGTTGAATATGGATGCAAAAAATGCCATAAGAAACCTGAGAAAGTTTTTCTCCTTTTCATGTTCAGATGCGTGAAAACAAAGGGCCCGTCAGCTGCTACTGTTTATACTAGTGATGCTGGCGTCACCCTCACAAGCCCGGCAGCCTCCGTCCGCAAGGAGTGTTTATTTTTATAATACATATCAGGATTTAGTTATTATTAATGTGAAAATGTAATTTGCTAATTTTTTATTTTGTTGTTGTTGTAAATTCAAAGAAAATAATGGTGTAAATTGAATTGGGTCCTAAATTAACCAAGGTCTTAAATATAAATGATCGTTATCAGAGGCTTTCCTATACAGTACAGAAATTATGAACAAGTCAAAAGCAGGTTAAAATCTTGAAGATATACGGCAGTTAATATAACATTAAAGTATTTGTGATATAAATACGACCAAAAATTAAATTTTCCCAGATTTTACGATAATTGTGCATTACAGTACAGGGGGGTGTATTTCATAATCGATACTTGCTCCCAGACCCAGAAACAAAAATTTGGATGGATTTTCCAGATTTAATTTTATTTTTATTTTCAGAAAATGCTCCTGATTTTCAACTCCGGAGTTTGTTCCAAAACTCAGAATTTAGTGAATTTGCTGGAAAAATTCAGAGCAAATTTCAATTCCGGCTATTGGAGAGTTCTGGGTTCAAGAGATTTGAGTCTGGTCAAAAAGGTAGGTATAATCACATGAGGACTCCAGAGCAGAGCAGTGGAATATGTATGACAAAGAGGTGACACTACTTACTATACTGTACACAGTAAAGGCAAGCAGTTAGTGTAATACTTAAACATGTGCATGTAACACACAAATATGTCTACCCACGGGCCAATATCAACCTGTTAAGGGTTACAGCCAAAGCTCTGTGGTTGCATCTCTACCATGACACAAGTAAGTACCATTATACTGACCTCTTCCTCATCCTTGTTGTCTGGTATAGTACGGTGACCCACAGTGAGGATGTGGGTAATGTAGCGGTGTAGCCACATGACCAAGCGAGGGCAGTGCTGACACACCCAACTGTGCAGATATTTGGTGTTGACACTTTCCTTCTTATGCATCTGTTTATTGTAAGGTAAACACATGACATTAGAACTACATACTGTAGGTTTAAACATGTAAGCATAAAATAATAAATCAAATACAAGAAGAATATGAATTGCTAAAACACTAGACCATTTTTAAACTTGTTTGTATGAGTGTTTATGTAGAAGTGTGTATATGTAACGTAAAAAAAATGAGACACGGGTGAACTAGTCCTGTTCCTCACTATTAAAAATTATCTCTTTGAATTACAACACAATATATAACACCTGACTATCACAATACATCCCACTGTCATATTTGGCCTTTGATCTTAGGACACAAGGTGAGTGTTGTACTATATTAAACTTGGCTGTTACAACTCTGCTCAATCCTAACAGGTCTAAATTCTAATACTGTACTGTAATTACATACGGGGCAGGGGACCTATTAGGACTAGCATCCATTTGAGCTGCAATCTTATCTTTATACTGTACCCAATTACAAAAAAAACCCAGTATTAAATAGATAGTTAATCTACATTCCCATTTACAGAATACAGTACTCAGAATACTCACGGCAGCATTTACAACAGCCATAAGGATATCATCAGGTAGACAACAGGTGTGATGTGCAACAGTTGATATTTGGTAGGCAGCAAAAACTAATTCATAAACATCTTTCCTTTCTATCTTTTCTTTGTCTCCTGCAAATACCTGTACAGAAAATACATCATTATAACATAAATATTAAAAGATACAGTTACACAGAGACCGGTACTTAGGAGCATTTATTATGGATGTGCTAAGATGTCTTTATTTTATTTAATATAGAGTGCCACCTCAGGCTGCTGTAATTTTGAGGCCCAGTACCTCAGAGAATAGAAAAGAGAACAGGATTTTGTTTTTCAATCAACTCCATGTGGCACTTAAAAGCTTACAAACATAGTACATACAGTATCTCTTAAGTCAAGAAAGTGTTCCCCCCATATAACAAGAAGAATTCCTCTACAAACACACCTGTAGTTTGTACAGGTATTTATTAAAAAAAAATAATCTTTGAGCAACAAAAATTGTAGATTATTAACAAATACATATTTTACCTTAATGTAAAACTCAAGTTGTTGTGGATCAGTCATGAGCCCCATGAGATAATTTGCCGAGGACAAGAATGCTGGCCTAGACAAAAGATCCTCGAAGTTCTCCTTCTGAGTCTCTTGCTCCCCTATCTGAGGGTCTGGTGGTGACTCCTCCTGCCAGTGAGTGATGAGGTAGTGGAACAACCGTTTACCAAGAGGCTGGTTGGCTTTACACACATATTTCTGAAAGTGAAAGAGAGTAATTATTATGCCTCTCCATTTACTGTTGTTCTTTCACTTTCAATATTTCACAAATAGTGTATATTTTTCTGCAAATTCTTCCATATATACTATATTGTACATGTTTCTCTCATGCATACAACACCTTAACACAACATCCTTCACTTCATCTTCTCTCTGCCCTCTCTCCTTACTACATATCTCCCCCGATGAAAGTAATCCATCCCACCTTTCTTTACTGCATTTGCATTTCCACTATTAATAGGTGGTTGTGTCAATCTTTCCATCATTTCCCCCCCAAATTGTGAGTTTGACTGACTTGGTAGACTACTGTACTGTCCATCCAGGGTCTTCACTATCAACCATTACTAGCTACTGTTGTCCACCTACAGCTATCACTGGTGAACAGAGGGGCAGTCCACAGCACCTCAGAGAATCCCCCCCCCCCAAAAAAAAACAAGCAAATTCCAGTGTACAGAAGTTCTACTGAATTTGCTAAAAAAAAATACATATATATTTTTAATTTCATTGTAAGTCAGAACTGTCAGACCTCTACAAATATTAATGCTAGATGAAGGTGCTGAACAATGTTGGGTTGTAGATCACACATCTCCCAACATTATAGATCAAGTTTGCTATGTTAAGTGGAAATATTATCTGAAAGCAACATAAATGAGGGTAGGATGTACAGTCCCCCTCACTAGTGCATCTACAGGGGCTCTTCAGGTTTTGTGCAGCATGGCAGACATGTATTTGGTTATAGGAAACGCGCAATAGTAAACATACTATGGAATCAAAGCAAAAAATATATATACCTGTATATATTGTATACTAAAACATTTACAGTATAAAAGTAAAGATATGTGGAATGTTATATATTTAATAAGAAATGCATTAAATAGACTTTTATTAGATCGTTTTTTGAGATACAGCATTCATTTTGTATGCATTTTGAAGCTGAAGGACTATACTTGCAGATGGTAGGTAGTGCATCAAGAAGTAATGTACTGGGTTGTTGCAATGTTGACTTGAAGCGACAAAACTCCCACCCGCTTATGTTTTTTTTTACTTTAATCGATATCAGAGTGTAGATCCTGCCACAACAAAAGAGAACTGAGGGAGAGGGAGAGAGTGATTCTGCCTCATTGGTTGGAGTGACCGTGACATAGATAGCAGACGCTCGCTGTGATTGGCCGAAACAGGGGAGGAGACTGCGGGCTGGCCGCTGTGATTGGCCGCCCGCTCCTCTCACTCACTCACTGATGGGACGAGAGCACCTGACGATGCGAAAGCCAAATCCATACTTCCTGTCTGCCACAAATCAATGTTCTACCCTATTTTCAAATGGCTCTCAAACTTATTTACAGTGTAGCAAGGAGATCTTATCAACTACCATCATATAGAGCTAGGCCGAAAAGAGTGCTTTCCAACAAAAAAACAGGTTTCGCCCGGGTGGTCTGAGTTATCCTGACAATGCGGGAGGCCTCATATGAAGTGTACAGGTTTTAATAAGCACAGATTATGACAGTAATGTATCTTTACTAATTAGTAGGTAGTAGGCAGCTGCCAAACAGGGAGGTACTACCGCCTTGGAAGATATTGGAAGCATAATGGGTTGTCTAATGGTAGACCCTGCTGCCATATGGCATCAAAAAAATTGTGACCAAGTCCCAGGTTGCTGATCTGACTCTCTGCCTCATTTACACACAATTGCAGGGTCTCAATTGTTTCTCTTACTATTGACAACACAACATATATACAGGTATAGGGGTATACAGTACTGTAGTATTATTTCTCATGTTTGATCTTTTTCCCATTTTTTTTGTGGTTCTTTACTAATTTTATTATTATTACAGTGTTGTTATTATTGTTATCATTGTTATTTTATTATGCTATTTTTAATTGTGCATTTTTTATTATAAATTTTATTTACTATATATTATCATTATTATTATAACATTATCGCCCCCAGGCCGCGATGTGGGTCAGTGACCTGTACTCGGGTGGGCTAATCCCTGTATAAAAAAAAAAAAGCCCTGGTTTATTCACTGATCAGTTGTTTAAGTGCAACAGTAGCCAAATCGAGTCATCATGTATCAATTAATTTTAAAATAGAAATTATAAAGTAAAATGTTATAAGACAATGGTTTAGTAGTGCTGTTAATGTGTGCCACCTGACTCATCACCTGCCACTGTCATCACCTGCCACCTGACTCATCTTGGCCACCTGCTCATCACCTCGCCACCTGACTCATCACCTCGCCACATGACTCATCACCTCATCACCCTGACTCATCACCTCGCCACCTGACTCATCTCCTCGCCACCTGACTCATCACTCACCACCTGACTCACCACCTCACCACTGACTCACCTCGCCACCTGACTCATCACCTCGCCACCTGACTCATCACCTAGCCACCTGACTCGTCACCTCGCCACCTGACTCCATCACCTCGCCACCTGACTCATCACCTAGCCCTGACTCATCACCTCGCCACCTGACTCGTCACCTCGCCACCTGACTCGTCACCTCGCCACCTGACTCACTCTCACCTCGCCACCTGACTCGTCACCTCGCCACCTGACTCGTCACCCACCACCGCCACCTGACTCGTCACCTCGCCACCTGACTCATCCCTAGCCACCTGACTCATCACCTAGCCACCTGACTCATCACCTCATACCTGACTCATCACCTCGCCACCTGACTCATCACCTCGCCACCTGACTCATCACCTAGACACCTGACTCATCACCTCGCCACCTGACTCATCACCTCGCCACCTGACTCATCACCTGCCTACCTGACTCATCCTCGCCACCTGACTCATCACCTCGCCACCTGACTCATCACCTCCACCTGACTCATCACCTCACCACCTGACTCATCACCTCGCCACCTGACTCATCACCTAGCCACCTGACTCATCACCTAGCCACCTGACTCATCACCTCGCCACCTGACTCATCACCTAGCCACCTGACTCGTCACCTCACCACCTGACTTGTTAGCTCAGCTCTGAATTACATTGATTTATTACTGTGTTACTTTTTTAGTATTGTATGTACACTTAAAGAAATATTTACATTTGCACCATAATTATAAACATATCCAGAGCAGAAAAATGCGGCGTTACCCAAGCGGTTGGTCTTCCCACCCACGCACCAACCACGTGAGGATGTGGCTAAACATGATACAATCTTTCATAATGCAGGGAACCTTTGTCCCCAGGCCCTGAGCAGAAAGGTTTGGAGTGATTATCTCAAAATTTTCTCAGACTTTCCAGTAACTGAGCATTATTTTATAATTGATATTTGCTCCCAGACCCAGAAATAAAAATTTGGACAGATTTTGTATTTATTTTTTAAATTTTCAGAAAATGCTCCTGATTTTCAACCTCGGATTTTGTTCCCAAATCCGGAAATAGGGAATTTTCTGGAAAAATTCCAAGCAAATTTCAATTCTGGCTATTAGAGAGTTATGGGGTTGAGGGATGATGGCTAACAGAGATATTACGTGCTCTGAACCTTACAACGGCAAAATGTCCACCACTGGAAATTCGTGCACTACTGTACTTGGTAACAACTACGGTAATGATTCTTACAAGGAAAACATTTTCTGTGATGCCATCCAAGTTGTCTTCAGCAAGGGACTTCACCACCAGAATCTGGAAGTAAAATGGTTATCAATATTGTGTTTATCATGCCAGCAAGGATAGGATTAATGGTTTAACATATTAATTGAACTTACAATAAAAAAGTCCTTCTTCAGCAGTTCTGCCCCAAAGGCAATACTGTATCACTAATTTGAATGCAGTTAACTAGGATGACCCCATTAAAGAAATGTTACTAAAGATAACAGTTAAAAATATGTGGGACATATCTGTACAGTAAGAATTGACTTGAAACAATTGAATTGAATTGAAACAGTTTATTTAGCCAGAAAAATACAGATACAGAGTGGATAATACAGTAACAACAATATTAACATGGCTGAGCCAGTTGAGAACCTAAGTTCTCTTTTAGGCACCTGATATATACTATACATTTATTTCAAGGAAGTATTAAGTAACATATAGTATCATCTGGAATAGTACAATAGCATGGTGGTAATAAGAACATCTCATCCACTAAGATATCCAGCTAATAAAAATCATTCACTGCAATGTCCTAAAACTATATTAATAATAATATTCAATAACTTCTGAGGCCTGTACCTATAGTCTTGGTTCCTGGATGAGCAAGTTTAGCTTTAGGCACTTGGAGATTTGGGCTGGGATTCCAACATGATCAACAGGTACCAGTGTACTGTACCTTGTTTATATTTTTGTGTTCATGGGAATTAAAAATATCAAAATAATGTTGGAAATTCAGAGGCAATCTAGATCAACAGCTTAAAAGATTACCACTACCCTTAATTCCTTACATCCAGCATCAAACCAGCTATGCAAGTACTGTACAGTGCAGTTGGTCAAATGTGCAGTCATGTGTTACAGAGCTGAGCTTATTCTTCCTTTGTATCTATGGTATTTTCTTCTTTATCAGATATAGAATATGAAAAATTAATCCTGAAATACTGTACATATTTAAGCTGAGACCATGGGCAGGCAGCTCTCATTGTGCTAGCCATTATGGGGGAGTACGACAGTAAAATGTCCCTACCATTTTACAGCTGAGGGTTTCATCTTACAGTTACCCATCCCTTGTCAACAATAGCCAGTTGGCCCAGTGGAAGGATGTGGTAGTACAGTACTATCAAGCATCATCATGAACCCCAACTAAACTACACGAGCAAGGTATGTGTACCAAAAAATCACACTCATATACTCTCTTGTATTATTAAGTTCTTCAGTAGTATCCTGGAACCTTAGGGCAAAGAATGACCAGTCAAGTGTTCAGAGCTCTTGAGACCATGGACAGAGACAGGCCAAGTGAAACCTTTAAGCCTGTACCATGCAGGTTAGTTCAGATATGGAAGATATCTCACAAACACCTAATCAAAACCCTAAGCAACCATTGTCCAACAACATGTATCCTGTACCAACAAAAAAATCATGGCACTTAGCAAAAAGGAACCATAAGTAAATTTTTTCAAGCACATTATTTAATTTACATTTTTTATACTTATCAGATCAGTTACTTAAATTGTTAGATATAAAAAATAAACCTGGTGCAAGTGTACCAAAATGGTTTAGTTATACTGTATACACTATACCTATACTGTATATAAAATGACCTGCTACAAATAAACTTGTCGGCACCTTTGCTATTGACATGCCCTCTGTGGGACCTGACCAGCAGTGCCTCCACATGCCATACCCAGTGATGTCAGTGTCTCACTACTTGTAATAATAATAATAATAATAATAATAATAATAATAATAATAATAATAATAATAATAATAATAATAATAATAATAAACGGTTTATTAATAGAGTTGCAGCCGGTGGCTGAAAATTTACAGACTTACATTTGATTTAGACATAATGATATAATATGCATTGAATATAGTTACAGGGCTGTACAATACATAAATCAGGAGTTGTTTATTATTTTAACAATAGATGGGATGGTGCTATTCTTATATCTATCGGTGCGGGCTCTTATGGGCTGAATTTTGTTGTAGTGGCAGACTGCGCGAGGAGGGTGGGGGGCTGCCGGTGGCAGGAGGTGGCGATGACGAGGGTGGTGCATTAGTTGTCTGCCAAACCTTTCCAGTGATTGGTGGTGGAGGTCACTGAGGGATGGCATTTCCAGGGTGGAGAGAGCATTGGTGTAGCCGGAGTATTCTGCGCCGAGCATGATTCTGCAGGCCCTTTTCTGTACCTTTTCTAGCTGACGTCGTTGGGTGGAGTTGTACTGACGTAGGTGTTGACTGTTATATGATGGGGTTAGGGACTTCGAAAAGCCATCATAAGATGGTCAATCACACAGTATATCGATATTATTAATTTATGGGAAAAAATAGGTTCTGTTCCCGAGACCTTGAGGAGCCAGAGTTAGCACTCAGAGCAGTTATTTTTCTACTTGTAATTTCAAGTAGACATAACGTAATTTCCTTATTTTTTTTCACTGTTACATGTACACACAATCTTTCATACAGAATCAGTAGTGTAGGAAGGGGTAAATGGGTGAGGGGGGCCACAGCCTCCACACTTTCTATGAGGGGCCCAGATAAAACAAAATTTTATGCATAATCAATGCTTATACAATGCTGTACAGGTATCCTTTGAGATACAAATGCGGTAGGTTATATATATATATATATATATATATATATATATATATATATATATATATATATATATATATATATATATATATATATATATATATATATATATATATATATATATATATATATATATATAAATTAGGTGAATTAACGTATCAAGAATAGATAAAAATGAGGGAAAATTGGGTCTGCTTCCCCAATCACAAAAATACCCCAATGTCATACCCATACTCCCTTCTCCTCCACCCCCACTTCTAATGCCCATCATCATCCACGAGCCTTCTACTGTACATACACACCTCAAAGTAAGTGTACTTTACTGATTTTTTTTTACTTTGTACTGTGTGTACTTTTCTGTGAGCTGGAACCAATTACCCAATATCCCATTGAAACAATGGATTCGGTTAATGAAATTTCTGGTTAACGAACAATTCTGTGGAACGAACTGTGTTCGTTAACCGAGGGACCACTGTACTAAGTTTGTATTGGTACTCACCGATGGGCGGAGGTGGTAGAGCGAGTGTGTGGTGGAGTGAAGGAGGATGGCGGGGGGGAATGGAGTATGGCAGGAGCGGTGGAGGGCGGGAGAGGAGGAGGGTGGTGAGTCACAGAGACTCTGTGCCGAGCCGAGAGAGCGTAGCTTGGCCAGACTAGAGAGGGTGGTGCGCCGTAGAAAGTAGTCCGTGACGACGCAAAACGACGTACTGTAGTATCGGATCACCGGGATGTTAAACGAATTATAGGTCTCTTAAATTTTTAGGAACGTAGTACCGAAACAACGTTAAGCAGGACGAAGTTAAGCGCGGACTTACTGCATATGATGGATACACCCCATTTCGTCACCAACGTAGTTCATCACCAAAAAACTCATTTCATCACCAATATCAAATCTGTTTCATCACCACTAACAGTCTGTTAGTCGCTGGTATTAGAACGATAAATTTTAAGTTATTATTTTAACCCTTAAGCCCCGGGTTAGGGTGCCGCTGGGAGTAATTCCAAAAATAATTTTTAACCTTTTTAAATGATAAAAAAAAAAAAATATGTAAGAAAAACTATACAGTACATTGACCCTTTAGAAACTTCCCTGGGGCCACAGGGGTGAGGGAGATAAGGGGACAGTGTTGTTTTGACAGTTGACCGCGTGGTCAGCTACACACTTGCCAGCTATTTTTACCTTGCCTTTGTGTCTGAGGTGGCCAGTAATGTATATATTTACTGATCATAATACTTACTTGCTATAACTAATTCATTTAAATATTTTATTTGCATTATTTTTCATAACAAGTGCTCGGCTACACACACCAGGCTGTCTGGCTGTCTATGTGTTTGGTAGAGCAAGTAATGAATAAAACAATAATAATTCCACAAATAAATATATTTATAACATAATCATAGCATTATTTTCCTGTAATACTACACTACTTTTAGCAATATTATTTTGATACAACATGATAAAATGGACAAACAATGAAAATGAAACAAACAAAAGTAGGTAATTATGTTCAGGAAGCTTCCCTGTGGCCCAGGTGTGGCGTGACACGCAAATAGTTACACGGGAACCTGATAACCCACGCTGGGCATTTAAACAGTGGCGGGAAATGGCGTGTGTTTTAGCACATCACCTGGGGCATAAGTGTTAAATGAATAGAAATTACACTTGTGCTGAGCACAAGCTAAAATCGTGCACAAAAAAAATCAAAACATGACAAACAAGTCCGTCTCAGGAAGTTGTGGGATGAATATGAAGAAAAAACCACTTCTAATTTCCTAGAAAATTGTCAAGTGCCTTCTTCCAAGCTTACATGAGTAATATGTTTTAATTTTTTTATTTTAGTCTTTCACATACTGCTTAAGTGAGATGATTGCAGGCGTTGTAACAATGTTTTTATTTTTGTTTCATTTTAGTCTTTAGTAAATTGTTTAAGTGAGATGCTTGCACGAGTAATAACGTTTTTATTTTTAATTTGTCTTTAATAAATTGTCTAAGTGAGATGCTTGCATAATCCAATGTATTGTTTTGCCGAGGCATAATTTTGTATTACAATTTTGTAAACTAGGGGTTTTAATTATTTTCTATCCCAAGCAACAGTTATTTTGGCAAATTGTTAAATTTTCATGTACATATTGATGTATTAATTATGAAAGAATTTTCTGAAATGTATGGTGATGGGAATGAACGCGGTGACGAAACGGGTAAAAACAGTGGTGAAGAAAAGGGTAAAACATGTGGTGACGAAACGGGTTGGTGATGAAATGGGCACACCTTTGTAAAACCCCTATATGATACATAGTACTTCAGAAGGTATTATTGCGTTTACACACAGTTCATTCCAACACTAATCTATTATCATATTCGAATAAGACGTCTAATTATAAGATAATTTTCATCTACAGTACAACATTACCGGCGGAAATGTATAATAACGGTGATTGCTTTTCCAAAAAAATGTATATTTTCTTCCATTAACCTCCCGCCATTATCGTCTGCCCCTCATCCAACACTGCGTGTCTCTCGCGTCTCCTTCATAAATCATGACGCGCATGCGTACCCGTATACGTCACGCGGCCAATCAAAAGTGTTTTTGCTTTTGGAACCAATTAAAATGGTTTTGGGTTTAATTCAGAGTATATTTGGCCTAATCAAAATCGAGTTTTATTTTGGGTCTCTCATATTTTGAAATTCAAGATCAGTTCCGACCATGGAAGTCTGCGATGGATGTCACAAAGTATATGGAGCTGATTGCGAGTTTTTGGAAAAAAATGTAGAAACTATAGCATTTTTTCGATCGCATGGTGTTCTTCCAACCTCAGTAAAGTGTACTAAGAGCAAGACAATGTAAATATCACAAAGACCAACATATATGGCACTGTGTAAGAATCCCAGAATGCAACGACGAACAAGAACCAGGCCAATAAGGTAAGAAATAGGTGATTCCATCATATGGTGAGAGTCAGTTAAGTTAGGTTAGGTTAGGTTTTTATTTTTCTATTGTTTTTTTGTGTATTTTTTAGTCGCTTAGCCACTTTTTTTTTCAGAAAAAGTCAAACGAAAAAAAAAATCGAAAAAACCCGGCTAATTTCCGCCAAAAATGAAGGTCTTATTCGGTCTAAACACACAAATACACTAGAAAAATATATTTTTTACTTGCTAAAAGTGAACAGTGTGACAATGCAAATTTACCCTTCAGAAAGTTTCTAATCACCTAGTGCCAATGACACACATTATTTTATGCTGTTAAATACTCGACATAAGATTGCTGTACAAGACCTTTCCATAATTTTTACCTGTAATAATTATAATAACTTACATGTGATCTGTTTCAGGACTAATTACTCCAGAATGAGTCAAGTACAGTACAATACACGATATTAATTTTGTTTCAGTCATCCGGGGAATCTCAGGAATTTAGGTTAGGTTAGGTTAGGTTAGGTTAGGTTAGGTTTGAATAACTAAATACAGGAAACTAAATTTTACCCAATACACAATAAATAATTTATATAGGTAATCACTTAAGAAATTATTACCTTGGCGAGTTTGACCAAAAACTCAGGGGGTTCATCATAGTTAGGGCGGCAGCCACTAGACCACTGTAAACTTTTCTTGGGAGAAGATCCATTTTCAATTTCACTGGCGGCGTTACCCATTGTGTTGAGAGGTTTAGTGGTGTTGCCTGCCAGGTGTTGCAATAGATCCTGGAGACAAGCAACCTTGATCACCGTCCCTGACAAAGGAGCATCACGACGACGCCTTCTCACTGACCCCAAGACCTCACTAAAACAATTCATTTTCCTTTATTATATTACCTCCCAACTCCGGGGTCTTCACTACCTCATTAACACAAATATTTCAATCCCTCAGATGATTCACTTAAAGTTAATCAACCAAAAGAGCAGAAAGACACAGCTTAATTTCAGTGAACTGCTCCATCTGTGATCAGCCTTAATGACCCCTACAACCCCATCAGGAGGGGATCCCAGGCAGCCTTCTATCACTTGTACTAATCAGCTGTTGAATAAAAACATCACCTGGGGGAGTACAGCAGTGAGTTCCTTATTTCAAACTGACATAGGTAGGTATAGGAGGTACGGTTAACTCATTCTAAGGTCACCCTGAGTTACACTGTTAATTGTACTGTTGGTGGTATTTTGCCTTGTTCACTTCTATATTCCTTTGTTCACTTCTATATTCATTTGTTCACTTCTATATTCCTGTCAAGGTAACTGAGACTGGTAGAGTAAGGTGCGCTAGTCTTACCTATCTCTTATACTGACTGTCAGCTCTGCAAGATCCACATCATATGTTTTGTGATAACCCAAGTTCACTGATTCTTGGTATTTAAGCTTAATGTAACGGTTAACTCATTCTAAGGTCACCCTGATGTGAAACTGTTAATTGTACTGTTGGTGGTATTTTGCCTTGTTCACTTCTATATTCCTTTGTTCACTTCTATATTCATTTGTTCACTTCTATATTCCTTTGTTCACTTCTATATTCCTTTGTTCACTTCTATATTCCTTTGTTCACTTCTATATTCCCTTGTTCACTTCTATATTCCTTTCTTCACTTCTATATTCCCTTGTTCACTTCTATATTCCTTTCTTCACTTCTATATTCCTTTGTTCACTTCTATATTCCTTTCACTGACAACTGTTCATGTTAGCTGTATCACTGTGTTTATTTATTTGTTTTGTTAATACTGTAATTTACTTAATATTTAACTTAATATTTAATTCCTTTTTGGGGCCCAGGAATGTGATTAATAGTTTTCGGTGTTTAGTATGTGATGGTGTCGTTTTCGGTGTTTAGTATGTGGTGATGTTTTCGGTGTTTAGTATGTAATGTTTTCGGTGTTTAGTATGTGATGATGTTTTCGGTGTTTAGTATGTGATGATGTTTTCGGTGTTTAGTATATGATGTTTTTGGTGTTTAGTATGTGATGGTGTAGTTTTCGGTGTTTAGTATGTGATGATGCTGTTTTTGGTGTTTAGTATGTGATGGTAGTGATTTCGGTATTTAGTATGTGATGGTGCTGTTTTCGGTGTTTAGTATGTGATGACTTTTTTGGTGTTTAGTATGTGATGGTGGTGTTTTCGGTGTATAGTATGTGATGGTGTAGTTTTCGGAGTTTAGTATGTTATGGTGGTGTTTTCGGTGTTTAGTATGTGATGGTGTGGTTTTCGGTGTTTAGTGTGTGGTGATGTTTTCGGTGTTTAGTATGTGATGGTGGATTCAGTGTTTAGTTTGTGATGGTGTTTAGTATGTGATGGTGGTGTTTTCGGTGTTTAGTATGTGATGGTGGTGTTTTCGGTGTTCAGATGGGGAGGGATCCATAAACTCAAAAGTGATTCTTAACATTTTTACAAGTAAGGAAATGTTAGGTAAGGTTTTCATAGGTTTGTTTGGTGTTTTTTATTTATTTTTGTGTTTTACCTCACATGTTCCCTCCACTGTACTTCAAAGCCTTGCACACTTTGAACAACTAATATTGTGGGTAATTTTATCGATAAAAATACAAGTACAGTAAAACATAAATTTCCGACAGAAACGTTATAGATTTTTTTCTCCTTCTCTCTATACAGTATAAAACTCCATACATAAGTAGGTGTTGGCAACTTCTAAGTGTTAACCCCCACAACACCACTGCCACCAACATGCTTTCAGCACAGAAACAATTGATAAGTACTGTAGTGATATGTTCCCATCATTCTAGAAGAAATTAACTACTGAACATCAGCAGTGTTCATTGCTCAGTTCCTGCTAAAAGGATTCATTGATAATTTGTCTGCCATATAGGCGCAGGCTGTGGTGCCACAGTAGTGTTATAGGCAGAAAAAGTACAGTGAATCTACACATCAAGAGCTTTAGGATATGTATACAGTTTAAGGTGGCAACCTTATATAACACATTCCCTTTATTTTTATATACTGTACTGTACTGTATAATGCACATTTAACTGAGGAATCAGTAGAACAATTATTTTATCTATCCTCAACCATTTCATATACTGTACATTCTATTTGTAAAACCAATGTGTCAATGAAAGACAAAGGCATGGCACCCACCAAGCAAGTGACATTTCAGGAATGGCTGCTGAGGAACGGTCATCAGGAGGCTCTTCACCATCAGAGGCCCTGGAAGTCACTGAACAATTTGGAAGTGTGACAGTGGAGAGACACGTGCCCAGGATTAACTGCCCTGAACACATTGTAAGTACAGTGCAGTACACTATAGTATTATGATTTTGATCAGCTGATGGGCTAGTCTGCCAATTCTGTTCTATGTTTACATTCGTTTCCAGTGGAGTAAATATCAAGAAAGTTGTGCTCTTTAATATTTTTGCATTTTTTATATTAAAATTATTAGTCATTTTAAAATTTAGTTAACATATTGATAATATATACAGTACAGGGAACTAGTTTTTGTGCACCCATCAGCCGCTTGACTCACCCGCCAAAGCTTCTCTGTTTAACTTAGTTTACAGTGGAGGAAACATCGAGTTTGTTGGTCTTCTGAATATTTTTACATTTTTTTCATTAAAATTATTGGTTACTCTACATACACAACTCAAAGTAAGTGTACAGTACTGTACTGTACTGCATTTTGTTTATACTTTGAATGTACTTTTCTGTGAGTTGGAACCAATTACCCAATATCCCATTGAAATAATAGATTCGGTTAACGAACGACTCTGTAGAACCAATTGTGTTCTTGAACCGAGGGACCACTGTACCTGTATTGTATTTCAGAGACCATCTGTTCATAAATAACTAGTTGGAACTTTCGGGATAAGTATTCAGGTGCCCACCCACACATGAAGACTTATCCCGAAATGTTCTTATAACAATTCAGATTACAAAATAATAACCTGAACCAAATCATATGTATTTGGTTTAAAAAAATTAATTACGGCTCGGAGGGCACTTTTGGGATAATAAGTAGCACGAATGTTTAAAAAATTGGCTGATACCGTGTACAGTTAGTGCACATACCACAAAACATTGTGACGACTCTGTCTCCTCCTCACTCTACCACCATAACCATTACTTGCTCCAACTTGACACCAGAAGAAACTGTATCACGAAGCTACTTGACCTCAGTGAGCACGATTCAGAACCAGTTTCCCATCTGACTATGAGCCCGAGGTATTGAGGCAAGGTTGTCTGCCTGGTAAGCTCAGTCTCTTCTCTGTGGTCTACGGTATTAAAGACTACTGCTGGTGGTGTTGTGATGGTAGTGGACTACGGCGTTAATCCCTGGTTACTTATGGTTGGCCATAAGTTAGACTCGCTACCTGAGCTGCCATTTCTATCAGGGTTTTGTGTTGTTGTATATAGTAGGTGTAATTAATGTTTAAAGTAAGAATAATTGGGTAATAGTCTGGTGTGTTCTGATAACTGCAGCGTTTTGATAATTGCATATTTGTGTTTTACTTGTGTTATGTAATGTACTTAATTAGCTATATTAATCAATACTGTACTTAATGATATAAGTATGCACTATTAAATTACTCAGTTTACTTAATAATCTTCTTATCCCTTCCATAACATAAATTTGTCTGTCACGAAAACAGTGATTCTTGTGTGTGTGTTCCTTACTTGCTGCATCCACGTATTTCAACCCCTAGATTATTCACTCATTATTTTAACTTGTCAACTTTGCCTTTCTTCAATGTTGTGGGTAGCAAGGAGGGATAACACAACATCTATACTGTACACTATACTGTATTTACCCAAAACATATGTTTAGGTCATTAAGTTAGGCTGATTCATGTCATACGCGGTTATAACTATGCCAAGGTCACCGAGAATTAGATTCTAAAATGTTGAAGACTCCATTGACAGCAAGTAATATTTTTCTTAAAGATCTTGGTGGTTGATGTGTGCAGAGAAGATGGAAATACCTCGTACAAGCTGGCTGATGGTTCAAAGTTTTCATCCTTGTACATGGTGAAGCGAGCCATCACTCTCTTCCTCCAGAACAAACATGCAATAGATTCCAGGCACAAGTTTGCCTTAGTGGTGCTTCATGAGTCACCAATATGGGTATGTTGCCAGTGTACACAACCATAACTCTCCAAATTGCACCATTATACAGCTCCCATAAATCCCTCAAAAAAATCTGGAAACACAGGAAGTTATTGTAGAAACATTTGGAATTATTTTATTCATTAATTACAAAACTGTATCTTAATGTCTATTTCTGTACATATATAAATACTGAAGTGTACCTTTGTATTGTAGCATATTATACAAAATTACAATTTAGTACTAACCTTCCTCCATTTAGTTTGATAGTGCAATGGTTTACTCAGCTTGAGGAATGTAGTAACCGAGTGATTACTACACTCACCTCTTGTCCTTAGAGTTGTTGGTTCAGTCACAGGACACCCTGAGTGCACCCAGGCAGTCAGGTGTAGCGCCGGCCACACTGCCTCATTTTGTACAGTAGGCTCGATATATAATACAGTATATTGTATCCACATTGTCTAGGTTGTCTATGGGACCTATTTTCACTCGGACTGTGCATATTAGCGGTGCCTGGCAGCCCAGACATGCCTAGACTAGGGGCAGGGCAAGTGATTTTTCAAGTCCATGTGCCATGAATTATGAATATTTGACCACAAAAAAAAAGAGGTAATAATAGAGGTACTGTTCCCACAAATTTGTATTTTGTTTATTATTGCAGCTCCACTGTATTCATTTAACCTTTCCCATAAAATAAATCTGGGCAAGCAAATTTCTTTAAAAAATTTGTCATAAGTAACTTTCCCAAGACAAGTATCCTGTACCTGTAATTGTTTTACATAACCTGCACAGCCCGCTTTCACTATGTAAAATCAGGCATATGTCTGTATGTACCAATAATTATATATCATTTCATTCATTCATGTACATTGAGAATGGTAAACAATTACTGTATGGTTCACTTAAGTGTGAAGTAATAAAATGACGGTAAGTATTCAGATACATCATCTTGAAATTAATGGTGTATCTTCTTCTTTATAGCTGCACGACTTCACAAATAACCCAAGGGAGATAATGTCAGAGCTAGATGAATTAGAAGATGCTGTAGCCACAAGTCGTTGTGATCTGAGTCTTTTGTTTGACCTTATTGCACGCCAGATCTCTCTACCTCAGTGTTCCAACCCAGCAGTTGCTCCTCCCCCATGTGTCTTCCGAACTAGTGAGTATTTCTGTACCTTTGTAATGATACAAGGCGAGTTTTTTTTACCTGCCCAAAAAAACTTTTCAACCTATTTGGTTATATAAATTATTGCTTTAGGATTTTCATACACAAATTTGTATATTAAGTCAAAAATTAAAATAAAATAATTTTATGTTTTTGTATGAACTCTAAATACGCAAGCTGCACATTTAGCAATGTCAGCGTGATCTGGCAACTATGTAGACTACACTCCAAGGTTGCTACACCAGTCTCCCTTTTGTGTTTAAAGGAACCAGGGTACATACTGTATAACCTTGACCCACAATTCCCACACATTTTCTTGTGGGTTGTGCTAATTTGTCATGCATCACAGTGAGTTAATAAATTCGAAATAGTGTTGTTAGAGTTTTGAATCATGTCTCATGCTGCTGGTGAGGGTGGAAGGGTGGGAAAATGTAAAACGGTTAAATAGATTGCAGCACATGGTGATAGTGTGGTGCCTCCTGATGCCTCTCCTAGTGTCCCTGGCCCTTCTAGCATAAGTGATACTTTGTCTGGCCCTTTAACAAGCAGTCTTAGTGCTATGCTCAATATGTACAATTATCTTTTGCACCTGGAGGGTAAAAATTAATAATCTGTACTCAGCCTGGGTGCACTCATCAGAATGCAAAACTTACACCACTATTACTTAGCAAAATATAAATTTGTTCACATTTCTTTTAAAGCCATTTTTTTGGCTAAATACAGTATTGTCTCAATTTAGCGAATTAATTTGAACTACCCCTGTTCATTGAATCAAAATTTCCGCTAAATCAACCTTTCCGTTATGTTCGCTCGATTTACTGAACTATTTCACTGAATCGAATGTGATTCCGTTAAATTCCACCAAATGCGTCACACTTCGCTTGGCGTGTGGGGCTTGTTTACATCCATTCAGTCTGTGTCCTGTCGCCACCGCTCGTGTTGTTCATTGCTTCATCTCGGTTTATATAATTTGTTTACCACTGTGCCCGTCACCATTTTCAAATTACTGTAGACTAAAAGCTATGTACAGTCTCTCCTCGACTTACGACGGGTTTCCGTCCCAACAACCAGGTCATAAATCGAAAAGGCAAAAATAATACATAGAAATTCTAAAATGGGTGTCTCTTTTTCTTCTCGGTACCACAAGAACTCTCATTTTTACGCTTGCCAGCCATTTTAAAAGGAATTACAAAAAAAAATGTTGTCAGTACACAGCGCGATCACTGATGTCGGGACTCAAAAATACGTAATGTGAAAAATATTTTTTATGACCATGGCCGTCGTATGTCCGGGTTGTCGTAAGTCGAATATGTCTTAAGTATAGGAGAGACTGTATTTCAATCATATGTCTGGCAACAGGTGCGAGTAAAGGGAGTGATAAAATCAAGTGACTGCTAGTTGAGCATCGTCTGCTCTGGTAACTCTCCTCCCTCCCTACCATATTTCATTGGATTTACTCATATTATTAATGTTTACAGAGGGAATAGTGATTAATCATGACATTGTAGCCAGGTTAGTCTCATCACTGTAACCACCAGGATACTGGATCAAGCTGTGAGGTGTTATGGTTGTTTTTCAACTCGTATTTTTGGGCAAATATACGTAACTTTCTTCATTTATTTTTACTCGGTTACATACACACATCATCCTATATACATATTGTGAAAAAAGTTAAAAGAAATAATTGTCCTAAGGGTAAACACATAACAGGAATAAATAAATTTCTTTGCACATGAGTTAACTGGCTCAGTGAAGGAAGGGAGGGTGCAAAGTGTAGGGGGGGGGGGAGCATTGCTAGGCAATTGGCATCCCAGCCGGTCTTTGTTACTATGGTGAAATAGGGAGTGTATGCAAATGGCGACTGTGTTAAACTTTCATTTGGCTTTTATTTACTTATATATCAATAATGTACATCATTTTTGTTGGTATTATATTTATTTATTCCTCATATTTCCTGGTAGTGTATGGTAGGTGACAGAGGCATGGTAGGTGACACAGAGGCATGGTAGGTGACAGGTATAGTAGGTGACACAGAGGCATGGTAGGTGACACAGAGGCATGGTAGGTGACACAGAGGCATGGTAGGTGACACAGGTAGTGACACATGGTAGGTGACAGGTATGGTAGGTGACAGAGGCATGGTAGGTAGTAGGTGACATGGTAGGTGACACAGAGGCATGGTAGGTGACACAGGTATGGTTGGTGACACAGAGGTATGGTAGGTGACACAGAGGTATGGTAGGTGACACAGAGATATGGTAGGTGACACAGAGGCATGGTAGGTGACAGGCATGGGAGGTGACACAGAGGTATGGTAAGTGACACAGAGGCATGGTAGGTGATGTAGGTGGTCAGATATGCCGAGATTTTCCCAGATAATTTTACAGATCTCGGCATTTCCTGAGTTATACTAATACATTCTGAGACCTTATCCATGCCGAGTTATATGAAATTCTGAGTTATCAAATGCTGAGTTATCGAGGGTTTACTGTATATATTAGGTTTTGCTCTCCAAATTCTGGAAAAAACATGCTATCTGGTAACCCCCAGGTCCCAAGCATGCCAGATAATTGGTCCCATAACTGTACTGTATTCAAGTTTGCTTTTGATATTGCAGATGAATAAATTTGAAATTTTTGGATGTGTAAAGATTAATACAGTACAGTATGTTAGAAACATTTGAAAATATATAAAGATTTATATTAAGGAAAAACTTAAATCAGAAGGAACAACATATTGTCCACTCACTGATTCTCATTTTTATTTACAGTTGTGTTTTATGGAAGGTCACAGTGCCTGCCACAGTTTCTTGGGGGTAAAGCTGTGTTTACACACCTCATTCAGAGCCCACATTTTTTCCTAGATGTTTTATATATGCATGAGGCTCCTTCAGATGAAAACAAATGTGAGGTTAGTGTCTAATGTATTAACAAAGTTATAGAGGTATTGTTAGATTAATATAACCTTTTTCTAACATAGTATAGGTCTCGAGCTTCTCACGAGGAGTGAGTGCTTGTACAGGTAAGTCTATTAGTATTCCAGAGCCCAAAACTTCTGACAGTTTTCTCTTTGTTTTTTTAGGTTTGACTTACATTATATGTTTGTTACAGTGGTCATAGGAAATAATGCACCGAGATTGAAGGCCTTCAGTAACTTGCTCTCTAACTCGTTCAGGACCATCTTTCATTACTTTTTACTTTTATCCTCTTCGCCACTGATCGGCTCGTTAGCCGCTTGGGCGGTCGGTCACGTCTCTGTTACACACTCTTGGCAGATACTGGGCATGCACTGGCTGCTGAATGTACCTGAACCTGCTCCAGTGTGGGTCAGGTCTGGACCTGGAACAGCTCAAACTCAGTGCCATCACAGAACTCTCTGGCAGGTTGTTCCAAGAGTTCACAAATCTCTCACTCCAAAAAAGTTCACCCTTACAGTTTTCTGGACTTGAGGCTTCTTCAACCTTGAGCTGTGACCCATTGCATGGTGGGCATCTGCCAGCTTCGGATATGGACACTCAACTGAGTATTGCCTCAATTAGGTCATGACTTGCTAGGCAGTTGCAGGTGCTCTTATCTATATGGATAACTGAGGTACCAGTCTGGTGGCCCTCCTTTGGAGATTTTCAATCAACTGACAGTCTCTAGCATATCTCGGGGACCAGACGGGGTGACACTACTCCAGATGGGGAAGCACCTTACTCTTGAAGATCATTACAAGGGACAGACCATCTGGATATCTGAACAACCTTCTTATAAGACCTACTAGTTTCATTGCCTGATTCACTTTCTTCTCACAATGGCCCAAGAACTTAAGTTCATTGTTGACATACACACTCAAGTCCTTTTCACATTCAATCTCCATTAATTCAGTTTCTTTGTCCCGTTGGGACCTCCTTGCTGTTCGTACAACCCAGGTGCAACCTCTTACACTTCATGACATTGAATCTTAGCAGCCATTTCCTCGACCACTCTTGAAGCTCGTATAGATCTTTCTGCAGCTCTTCACAGTCTGTTTGATTCTTAATTTCCCTAAATAACTTGGCATCATCCGCAGATATTTGTATGGAGGAATATATAGCTTCAGGCATGTCATTTATGAAGCAAACATACAACAACGGGCCCAATACATGGCCCTGTGGTATCCTGCTTTTCATGGGTACGCATGATGATTCGTGCCATTAATCACCACACACTGCTTGCGGTCATGGAGAAAGTCTCCGATCCACGCTAGAACATATCCCCACATCCCTAACCCTTCCAGTTTAATTCGCAGCCTTTCATGGGGTACGCTGTTGAATACCTTGGCAAAATCTAGGTATACAGTGGTTCCTCAATTGACGAACACATTTGGTTCCACAGAGTCGGTTCTTAACCAAAAATTTTGTTAAGTGAATCTATTATTTCAGTGGAATATTGGGTAATTGTTTCCAACTCACAGAAAAAGTATACCTGTATATACAAAGCACAGTACTGCATCCAGTAGAACGTTGATTTAAAGTGATTCAATTTAAGATTATTGATTTAAAGAGACACCCACAATTAAGGACAATGTTTTAATTTAAAGCGAATCTTTCCTATTTTGCGCAAGTCAATCTGGCGCATCATATTTTAAAATTCACGCCTAATGTTTCTCTGGGCACGCTACACTGTCCTAAGGGCAAACCTGTACTGTACATGTACTCAAAATAATGTCCTAAATGATTACTACAATTTTTGTCTAGTGCAAACTATAGAATGATTATATTCAAATTAATCATTATCTTATAAGAATTCTAGCACTGTAAATTATATTCTCCCCGGTTACTTCTATGACATTTTATAAACAAAAACTCAATCTAAAGGACATAAATAAACAAATAAATACTTCACTAGACCTTTGGCCCCAACTGTCAAACATGTCACTGTCACTTCCCTCTCTTCCCTTCCCACCCCTCCTCTCTCCTCTCCTCCCCTCCCTCTCCCTCCTCCATCTTCCCAGCCAGGGTTGGGTGGTTATAGGCTTACAGTTTTTATCTTATGTAATATCACAGACTAAAGTTAGAAGAATATAATTTGCAATGTTAGAATCCTTGCAAGACAGCGAATAATTTGAGTATTAACGTCATATATTTTGCACAAGAGATAAATTTGTTAGCCATTTGTAATAAAATTAATTAGAACTAAAATTTGTATTTCTAATGTGAACTATAGCATGTATATATTCAAACTAATCACTATCTTATAAGAATTCCAGCAATGTAAATTATATTCTCCCATGTCAGTTCAGTGACATTTTATAAGAGAAAAACTTAATCACTCTCAAGGACAGATAAATAAATAAGCACTAGACCTTGGCATCAACTGTCAAACATATCACTTCATCCCCCATCAGCTGATCGCTAGTAAACAGACCATTTCACGTCCCATAATTTTAGCTGTGTTGATTTATGAGTGTTTCTTTTAACATAAAACTACAAAAAACAATGTTTAGTTTATTCTAGGAGATGGGCTGAGGTGCATCTGGGTAGACTCTCAGTCTTTTTAGTATTTTGTGTTTCTCTCAAATACCAAACTAAATTATTCCATTGAAACAACACTTCGATTTAGTGCGAATTCGGTTTAAAGCGACCTCTCTTGGAACGTATCTTGTGTTATATGGACGTTCTACTGTACCGGTAATAGAATTAAAAAAAAAGTTAAATATAAACTAAATACAGTAGTACTGTACTGTACAGTATACTGTATATTAATAAATAAAAAACAATGGAATACTGTATTTTAACTTACTTTGAGGTGTGTATGTCGTATTCCCGGCAGCTTTGTTTACATATCAAACAGCTGATTGTAGAGGCAGTCAATGATGACATGCCATATTCTTTACAGAGTGCATTGGTTCTAATGCCTTCTTCGTGTTTCATAATAATTTCTGCACTGTACATTATCAATATGTTAACTACATTTCAGAATGACCAATAATTTCAATATAAAAAATGCAAAAATATTCAAGAGACCAACATACTCGATGTTCACTCCACTGTAAACAAAGTTAAGCTGAGAAGCGATGGTGGGTGATTTGATCAGCTGAAAGGCACACAAAAACTGTTCCCTGTACTGTGTATATTATCAACATGTTAACTAAATTTCAAAATGACCAATAATTTTAATATAAAAAATGCAAAAATATTTAAGAGCACAACGTTCTTCATATTTACTCCACTGGAAATGAATGTAAACATAGAACCAATTACTGTATTGGCGGACTAGCCGATCAGCTGATGCGCACGATGAAGCGTGTTTCTCGTAAGGCTGCCGTTAATCAAAATTTTTTCGTTAATGGAACTGAAAGTCCTTATGGGAGCTAATTCGTTAACCAAAATTTTGTTAATTGAACCATTTGTTAATATAGGGGCCCCGGTATATTGTTTATATTATCGTTTTGTTCCAGAATTTAGGTCAAATATCCAATAACTTGAACAATTGTGTTAAGCAGGAGCGCCTCGGCATAAAACCGTGTTGGCAGTCCTTTACAAGGTTGTTTCCTAGTAGATGTTCCATCATGGCATCTCTTATAATGCTCTCAAGAACTTTACATACTATGCTGGTCAGGCTCACTGGTCTATAATTATTTATGGAGTGACGATCGCCCTTCTTGAGTATAGGACTCATATAAGCCATTTTCCTATCACTGGGGACCTTTTGCTCATCCAGGCATTTACAGAACAGGATCTTCAGGGGCTCAGCAAGCTCATTGTACAACTCTCTTGGCACTGAGATGCACCGTGTCAAGGCCGGGACTCGTATGAACCTTTAGCTTTAACATTTTATTTCTTATACCCTCTTCTGAGAACACAATGTGGGTCAGTACTGTGTCACACCGCATGTCCTCAAATGCAGGAAGATTGTTCGCGTCCTCTCTTGTGAACATCGAGGAAAAGAAACTGCGTAACTACCATCTTCAAGCCTCAGGTCCGATATGCCTAATTGCGTTTTTAATTTTGACTTTGTATAGCGGTAAAATGCCTTTGGGTTTGACTTGACCTCACTGGCAATCCGGCTCTGGAACTCTTTTTCAGCCCTTCTACACCCTGACTTTGCTTGGTTCCTGGATCTAGCATACATCCTTATGTCCCACTCCTCATTTGTCCGAACCCACATCTTGAATTTTCTTCTTAACTTTGTATTCCTGGAGACACTGGGTTTTGTCTTAGTTATATATTTATCAATCAAATGGTTCGCTTTACTGGTTATGATATTCAGCATAGTGTCTGCATTCTTGTACCTTAGTGGGTCAGGCCAGTGGATGCCCCTCATCTCTTCCCATCTTAATTTCCCTTGTAATATTTGCACCTTGGCCTGGTTTTGTCACGAACCAAGTACTAACAGTTAAATCTGAAGGACAACATTTTATGGTGGCTGGTGCCAACTGGGGCTAGATGTTCCAGTTTGGCCACCATACCCTCCTCGTTTGTTATGATGAGGTCCAGTGGCTTGTGTGTTTGCTCCCCTCTGTAATGTGGCGGGTCTTTAACATGTTGGAACAGAAAATAATCTCCGAGATTCTACTAAAAGAGTAGAGGGCTTATTTAGGTCATCTGGCGTAAACTCATTTCTCCAGTCGATGTCGCCATAGTTAAAGTCCCCCATGACAAGGAGGTGGTTAAGGTTGAGCACCAATGCATTGTCTATTAAGGCTTTTAAGTTCCTTGGGTTTAATAAGCTACAGTTTGGGGATCTGTAGATAGACCCAACAATAAGTAAGTCCCTTCCCTTTAATTTAATTTTACACCACTTGGATTCTTCTAAAACATCCTCGCCTGGCTGGCTCTAAGGTCTTGCCTATCATAGATAACCACACCCCTCTTGCAAGTTGCTTGAGGAAGGTTCGTAAATGAGTCACATCCGTCTACTTTACATTGAACTCGCATTCCTCCGGGTTGATTCTCCTGTTCTTATACAACACCTGCTATATCGCGTTGATGTACCTTCAGTAGTGCTTCAAACACTGCTTGCTTGTCGAGGAACGTGTCAGTATGAGTGTACCGGACTTTCAAGTCAGAATTTGTTCTCGGTAAAGCCTCTGATCTTGGTAGTGACTCCGGCCTCCCTCCATTCTCAGCAGCTGCAGTATTTACTAAATACAGTACATTGCATTTTGTGGTCAGAGACGACATTGTTTACATGGCACTCGCCTCCTCCTGGGTGGGAGGTAGTGGATGAAGGGTGTCCCCTGGTTCTATGCTGGCGCTCTTGTTTCCACTACCTTCTCCTTGTTTCTAACCCAAGTACCTCCATCCCCATTCCTCGTCGAATCCTCCTCCTTATGCTTGAAGCATCATAGGAGTTTTTTTGTACTGTTCCCTCTGCATTGCCATGTGATCTAGGTGTATGAATATATTCCAAAGTGCATTACTTCTTGCTAAGTTTTTTGCATGCTGAATAACTTCCCATTCCTTATCCTCACTCATTAGTGTGATCCTGAGGGGACGAGCTTTGTTCTGCTTTTGTCCTAACTTCCTCACATCCTGAGAGAGAGAGAGGGGGGGGGGGGGCTAACATATTCAGAGCCTCTGTACAAATATTCTCAAACTTAATTTTATCGTGTTTTCCTACTCTCAGCTTCCCCCGACTGGCTCTCAGGGACTCCAGACATTATTATGTTGTTCCTGCACTCGAAACATTCCCATTGTTCCTCCTCTTTCCTAACAGTAGGTCTGCTAGTTGCCATCTCTTCAACACACACTTCTTCAGAGTCCCTAGCTGCTGAAGGACCTGTTCTGATCCTGCATTACTCTCCTTCACCTTCTGTGGCCCTCCTAAAGCCTGAGCATAACTCTTCTTCACTATTCCCTCCATTCTATCATCTACTTCCACAGTCTTAGTGAGGATCTCTTTCCCAACTTGCTCTAGTTTGGCAACAAGCAAGGATCCAGCTTCACCTATTTTTGTCTCTAAGTTTCTCTCTCTTTTATGATATGCAATAGCCTCGTTTACTTTGGTTATGCAGTCAGGACCGTACCAGCAACAGCCTTCATGCTTTACTGCAACGTCCTAAATGTTGACGCGGTCAGACCCCCACAGTCTGTCCTAGACCATGTCCCCTTGCAGTAATTGCATGTCAGCAAACTACTTGGTGACCCTGAAGTTATAACCCCTGGTTCTCCATGTCCTGTCATAAACGGTCTTCTTCCTTTTACATACTTACACCTGTGGGGACTCACAGCGCTTGACAGCTGTCGCCGTTGGCAATCCAGGGGAAGGGAGCTAGTGGGGGGGATGTCCAGACTCTGTAAGAATCTTCTCAAGTCTTAAGCCCAGTTACGATGTGATATAATTCTAACTGTCGGTTTAATAATAATAATACTTATTACAATTGCTTTTGTGCCTGCCTGTCAAGGACCTTTCAAAGCCCCACGACTCAGCTATGTTCCCACAGTAGGCCTCGTGTCTGGTGTGTTGGGAGGGGAGCCTGATGCCAACCTTCGTAATCTTTCACTATATTCTGACAAAGAAATTTACCCCTCGCTGGGATGACTTCCTTTATAATCACACCTGCTAATTGTAATGTAAGTGAACTGAGATGTGCGAGTGATTATGCCATTGTGGCAGACTATTATTTAAAAAATCACCGAGCTGTCCTGCCGGTCTTGACCTCACCGACACCTTCGTTTGTCCAGTTCTCCTCAGCAAGTTGTTGGTATCTCTTTGTGCTCTCACGATGTACAATGTATCTCCCTTTGAATAGTGGATCATATGCACAATCACAGTCCTTTAAAAATCAAAGAAAAAAACTTTCTTTGTGGTAGCAATAATGCACTTCAGTTTCTTACAGGCACTCGTTCCTGTTGCTTGCCTTCAAAGAAAAATATTTTGCTTCAATTTATTTTTGGTTTCAATCTGTTACTGTCCTAGCTAAAGGTACAGTACTAAACTCTGATCATCCTTATGACAGTCAGTCACAGCCATGGACACACCTCTTTAAAATTTTCAGAAATAAATCTTGGCATATGGCAGTGGTTTTACGGTTGTATCCCAATAGCCTATTGGTCCAATCGAGTAGGGAGAATATTTCAATATACAATTACGCATAACATTAAAAATCCTGCACTGATTTACACATTCACGTCACTAAGACGATCTTGATGCTCTTATGCAGTCGGTGTCAAATTTCTGCCACTCAACAATGAAGGTCCATGTGCCAACGTGCTTTGTTACAGAGACGCAACACGACACGTTATTAGATGCCTTCAGGTGCTGAGTAGGGAGCAGCTTGTATTAGAAGTGCCATTTGACTTTGGACTCTGTTTGAAAGTAAGATTTCATTAACAATTCACCATATTTATAATAAATGTAAAAAATATTTATACAGTATTTTTCATTCATTCATTTGTGTAATTATTTTCTTTCTTTAACATACATAATATATTGTAGGGTATATTTGACCTCCTGTGTGGCTTGGACGAGAGTGGCTGGAGTTACGTTCTTGAAGTGTCCCGTAATGCAACCAAGCTCCACAACCACTGTGGGAGTCTTCTGGCACACCCACTTCAACGTCCTACACAGAAGGATGTACATTATACCCTTAATGGTGTCGACTAGTTTTAGGCATCCACCAAATGGTACTGTATTGTTAAAAAAGCTGCAAATAGTGACTAAATCAATGGGACCACAAGAAACTTACCCCTCTTAATGTGATGTCTTACCATAGATCTTGTCTTAGTTCCAAAGAAAATAATAAAGCATTTTCATACAAATACTTACAAATTTTATTGAGTTTTCCTTGAACGAAATCATGATTATAAATTTTACTGCATATTATAGTACAGAGTACTGTAGTTGTAAACTGTGGATATGTACTTTTGTATGATAAAAGAAGGTGCAGGTAACAGATGTACTGAACTGTGTTCACCATCAACAGATCTCTTAGTAGTTCATATGCATTTGTATTACTTACTGCACTCGCATAATGGCACCATCAAAACTCCTTGCCATTATTCCCTCCCGGCATGAAATTCCCGGTAAGCAACTCAAGATGATATTTATGATGGAATCCAAGTACAGTACAGTTAAACCTCTATTTATGATGGGGGTTAAGTTCCTGAAAACCCCATCGCAGGTCGAAATATAGTAAATCAGGATCATTTTAACATGGGGTTCAATGGGATAGGTTCCTGGCCAGTAGAACACACACATGTATCACTGAAAAAAGTTCTTACACTATTATGCTACCAATACAACACAATTAAACAAGGCTCCCCTAATCATTGCCAACAAGTCTGGTCATCATCACATGTCCCCTTCCAGGCTAAGGGGACTCTTAAGGTGGAGTGGAGACATCAACCTGAGCCCCACACATTTTCAAAGTTACACTGCTCACTTCAGTCACATAAACACAATAATAATGATGGGGATTCCATTCTTTAATGAAAAAAATTAAGAAATGTTGCAATGGAGGTGTGGTAGGAGATTAGTGAGTTTCATGTAACTGACCTGACCTCATCAATGTCAGGTGGAGGTGGGGTGGGGGATTTGTGGTCTCCTGCAATGTCAGGATGGGGGATCAGCAGGTTTCATGACCTAAAGATAAGTCTTGAATAAAGATAAAAGCTAAGTAGCAAATATATTTATGGCTCGCAAAAAAGTGTATAAACTGTTAAATGTCCAAAGGAGGGCCACCAGGCTGGTGCCTGCTCTACGACACCTCAGCTACCCAAGATTTAAATGCCTGCAACTGCCAAGCTTATACTACAGACAGACAATGGGCGACCTAATTGAAGTGTATAAACATCTCAGAGGACACTACTCAGTCAAACGTACATACCTGGAGCTGGCGGATGCCCACCACAGAAAGGGTCACAGCTCAAAGTTGAGGAAGCCACAAGTCCAGAAAACTGCTAGTGTGTGTTGTGACGGCACCAAGTGTGAGCCGTTTCAAGACCAGATTTGACCAACACTGGAGCAGGTTTAGGTACATTCAGGACCCAGTGCATGCCCAGTACTTGCCAACAGTGCATAACCAAGACGTGACCGACTGCCCAAGCAGCTAATGAGTCGATCAGTGGCAAAGAGGATAAAAGTAAAAAGACGATATTATTTTTACCTATGAGATATATACAGTATTGTATATGAAGGGTATAGCTATTAATAAGCACAGATTATTACAGTAATGTATAGAAACTAATTAATGAATAACAAATAAATAATATTTTATCATAAAAGACAGAGCCATGAGTCGGTGACATACAATGGAGGCAGGCAACCATGGGGGTTAACAGCAGTCCACTAATTCTGCCAAACATATAATGCATTCTGATATGGCAACTCATCCACTTTCATGGTTACAGTAGTCCACGGTGTGTGGAACATTTAAGATAACCTAGTTTAACTTGTCTAGATATACTGACATTCTCCAGTCATATTGTAACAAAGTAATTCAATATTGTCATTGAAATAGCTAATTTCGGCCTACCAGATTAAATAGGAAATTTCTCACATTCAGGCCTACAAACACTCACGAGACAACGGGAATGTTCAGTTGGAAAATCTTCAGACCCCACCTGTACGTAACAACAGAAATTCAATGACGATGGCGTTGACTCTGACTCATCCATGGGCTCATTTGCATTCTTTCTATGGTCATTCCATACTGTGAGTACAGTACACAAGTAATAATTGTCTGTTAAGCCTTGCTTTAGATTAAGTAATATACAGGTACAGTATATGAATTTTGTTAAATTCGATGATATAGGAGTGTAAGTACAAGAGAGATATTTGGTCTCAAACATAACCCCACTTTTACTAAATATAAGTAGGTTCATTCTGCATGTCTTCACTTTACATGGCTTTTTCTAGAATTGCTAATTACAAATTTTTATACATTTCAGAGAGGAAGCTTGTGCAGATGAATAGAGCATATTCTTTTTTGTATTAGTAGTACTGTAGTTTGAGGATGGCTAAATGTAGTCTGGTGAAATGTCCTCTCAACTCTCTGGGGACAGTAGTTTCCCAGATGTAGATATCTGGTGTGTTCCGTTAACTGTTTGATTGAAAGTTTTGGATGGAGTACATGACTGAGATGTTGTGAAGTATGAGTGACGTAGCAGTCGTAGGCTCTTCTACCATGACCACCCCCCTCAGATAAGAGACAAAGTCTATTCTGATCTAGTGGGCACTAGTTACACTCCATTTACTTGGGAGTGGAGTTATATTCACAAGTAGCCAGAATGGAAATAAAACAAATATCTGCTACAACAGTACATATTTAACAAGACAAATAACATGTACAGTATCAGTCATTTGACCCAATAATGCCAGGATGATCAGTTAAAGAAGTGCTTTATTAGGCTCAAGTCCCTAATCACAAGCAAGGCAAATGGTATGTAACCAAGTGTTAGATGTGGCTATTTGCTCTTGACTTTTACACTGTTAATTTACTGTATATTCATTATTATTCTTTAACAACTTGGAAAGAGAATCTTCTTGATTATTGCAGTTCCATTGTCTGTGTTGTCTTTCTAGTCTTAATACATATATGAGTAAAGACAAATACTTTACAACTACATTCATTATACTACACTGGTACATTATTCACACTAATCACTCACAGTTGCCATAGAGCATATTACAGCAGAGAACACTCTCATGAACATTACTATACACATGAGTACAGTACATAAGTATACCACACCACACAGGCATACCAGACCTTCATCACAGTAAATACACATCATTCACATTAAGAGTGCAAGAACAGTACAACTAAGTGACACAACAACTGTAGGTCTGAGCCCTCGGTATGAAGTGGCATGAGAGGAAACCTAAACAGTGCTCATACCTTCTACTCTTGACTGTGAGTAACACTGTTAAGATCATGGGATAATAAGCATCTATGGTGATTTTTTAAACTCCATGCACAAAACAGATGACTTTGAATGAATAAAATATGAGTTGAATTGCTGCAGTAATCCCACAATTCTTCCAAAATGTCCAAATATAATGCAAATTTTATCCCATAATACAAAATTTGCAGTGTTTGTATTTCCCCACATGACCTTCCAGCATTTTGGGTTCAGGGATACAGGACAGCGTGTTAGCCAACGAGATTTTACCAGTGTGGTGGGCTTGTTTACAAGAGCTTGTAACAAGGGTGAGGCTATGAGTCCACTAAGTTACATGACAACATGTTAACAAGGATGACTCTTTACTCTTCAGCTTAGATATTAGCTCCAATGAGTGAGTTCCAGAAGTTGTTAAAAAGTCTATGATATCAAACCTTAAGGTTGTGCCTCAACAAAGATATCAAGAGTCCACCAAGTGGTTTATTACACGAGAGATTGTTAACAAGTGTGACACCATAACTTCACTACCTTACAGGAAAACTTGATGGAGTCATTATTCCAATACAGTACTCTTATCAGTATTAACAAAGGCATTTTCTATGTACACTAACATAGATGACTTGAACCTGAAGGTTTAAGTTGGTTTACATTTACATATCTCATACACTTCTAATGTTTTTATTTGGATAAATCATCTACAGAGAACTGAAATATTACAGTCTCAAAAGCACATTGTAATAGACAATTTACAAGTTTTCATAAAAAAATAAAAAATAAATAAATAAAATAAATTGATCATATCAAATTAAAATCTTTAGACAAAAAATATATAAATGCATTTATATTGCATGACAGCAAATGTTCCATTCCATAAGTTTACTTTAAAAAACCTTTTCATGACTATAAAATAAATGTTAGAAAATATGATATTTGTGAGGCAAAGTATATTATGCATGGAACTTTTTTCTTTTCATCAGTAGTGTTTCCTACTTAATTTTCAAGATAATATTAAGGCAAAAATCCATATTTGTTACTTAAATATTACAGTACTACAATACTGGTCTAGAGTTTTACAGTGTGCAGTGACGACTACCTGCCAAGGTGCTGACTTGTAACGTACAGTGTTTACTGACATATATTTACAATGATATGATTATGGTAAAATCTCCACACAAAATGAGACTTCTCATGTTCCCTCTGTAGCAGCTGTACACTGACACTCATCATTACAAAAACAGAAATAAGTAGGTTGCCAGATACAGTAATATACAAGTACGGTAGTTTTAAGTGTTGCCAGGTGGAGAAGCAGTGGATGTTGGTAAAGTTTAGTTTTATTGGCACACTTTATTGATACATATTATATATATATATATATACTGTATATCAAATAAAATTACATGAATTTGATAAATTATGACTGAATTTTTCCCCAGTTAGCCTCTTATGCATGTACAGTACCCCTCTTGTTGGTAGGGACATGTACAGTACCCCTCTTGTTGGCAGGGACATGTACAGTACCCCTCTTGTTGGCAGGGACATGTACAGTACCCCTCTTGTTGGTAGGGACATGTACAGTACCCCTCTTGTTGGTAGGGACATGTGCAGTACCCCTCTTTGTTGGCAGGGACATGTGCAGTACCCCTCTTGTTGGTAGGGACATGTGCAGTGCCCTCTTGTTGGCAGGGACGTACAGTACCCCTCTTGTTGGCAGGGACATGTTACCCTCTTGTTGGTAGGACATGCAGTACCCCTCTTGTTGGCAGGGACATGTACAGTACCCCTCTTGTTGGGACATGTGCAGTACAGGGACCATGGTAGGGACATGTACAGTACCCTCTTTGTTGGCAGGGACATGTGCAGTACCCTCTTGTTGGTGACATGTACAGTACCCCTCTTGTTGGTAGGGACATGTACAGTA